CCTCCATTACACATCCTTCAGAACACATCTCAGCCTCCAGCACACATCTTAGCCTCGAAGACACACCTCAGCCCCTCATACGCACCCTACAAAACACATCTCAGCTTCCAGAACACATCTCAGCCTCCAAGACACACCTCAGCCCCTCAAACACACCCTACAGAACACATCTCATCCTCCAAAACACATCTCAGCTTCCAGAACACATCTCATCCTCCAAAACACATCTCAGCCTCCAGAACACATCTCAGCCTCCAAAACACACCTCAGCCCCTCAAACACACCCTCCAGAACACATCTCAACCCAAAGAGACAATTAACTCAAGTTTGTCGTGTTTTCCCAGCGACCAAAGTTACGCCGGGGACACACAGCAGTAGTCTGGAGAGCAAACAAACACTTCCTCCTCCCTTTAAGTTTTTCATCTCCTTCAAGGGAAAAGAAATTCAACTTCACGGGTTCTTAAGAGGAATAGGATCAGGGTGTTAGTGGTTAAGGGTGTAGTTAGGGTGTAGTTGGTAGTTAAAGGTGAAGTTAGGGTGTAGTTGGTAGTTAGGTTGTAGATAATGGTTAGGTGTTAGTGCTTAAGGGTGTGTAGTTAGTGGTTAAGGGTGAAGTTAGGGTGTATTTGGTAGTTAGGGTGTAGTTAGTGGTTAGGGTGTCGTTAGTGGGCAAGGGTGATGTTAGTGGTCTGGTAGGTGAAGTTAGGATGTAGTTATGGTGTATTTAGGGTTAGGGGTGAAGTTAAAGGGGGTCAAGGATCAGGATGAAGTTAGGATCAGGGGCACCAAAGGGAGAGAACTTTTGGATAAGACAACAGAGAGCAATTAAAGGAAGGTCCACTTAGTTAGAGAGAGAGAGAGAGAGAGAGAGAGAGAGAGAGAGAGTCGCCGGAAATGACAACTCCACGACCGGTTGAGAAAGGAGAAAAGGTTCCGTGAAAACAAAGGAAAAAGAGGAAGAGGAGATGATAGTCAGGGTGAAAGGAGATTGAAAGTGAATAGAAAGTTACAGAAAACACGGAGGAAAGGAAGCAATAACAGGGGAAAAATGGATAATGGTGGTGTAAAAGAGGGGAGAGAGAGCTAGAAGATGTTAACAGTAGAAAGGAAATAGAAAGGAGAATAATAGGAAAGCAAAGAAAGTACCCGAAAACTGAGAGAAAGTAGAATAAAAATAAGTGAATAGGGAAATGGAGAAAGTACCAGAGTGGAGAGAAAGTAAAAATAAAGGAAAATATAGAGGTAACGGAAAAGATTGAGAAAGCATAGAGAAAGGAGGAGGATATACCAAAAGGGAAAAATGAAAGCGGGGGAAAGCGAGGAGTTAGATGGTTCGTGAAGTGAAAGGGAAAGGTATGTCGAGAGGGAGGAAAGGTTAGGGGTACAGAAAGAGAAAGTACGGTTGTGTTAAACGTGTGAGAGAAAGGAAGATGTAAGGACAGAAAAGTGAAAGTAAAAGTGTGAAAAGTGGTAAAGTTTTGAGTGAAAGTTATGAGAAAATGAGATACATTAGTGAAAGTGAATCAGAGAAAGTGAGATAGTAATAAATGTGAGTGAAAGTGAATTAGAGAAAGTGAGATAGTGAAAGAACCGAGAAATATTCATGTCGTGTTTTGATTCTTGTTGTCGAATTAACATGAATATCCTTAGAAATCTATATATGTGTTGTGTTCTTATTATGAGTTATATTTACGGGTTGTGTTGCTGTTGTTATGTTATGAGTCATATTTACGGGTTGTGTTCCTGTTATGAGTTATATTTATGGGTTGCGTTTTTATCGTTAAGTTTACATATCTTAAGTTTTTAGACGTATTTTTATCGTTCACTTAAAATCTTACGTTAATTTATTTGTATCGTTTAGTTCAAATATCTTAATCTTTTAGCCGTATTTTTATCGGTCACTTATCTTCCTCCTACTTAACAGTCACTATCAATACACATCTTACTTATAAAACAGCTGCCAGGATGTAGCGTTAATGTACACAACCACATAATTAAGTACACTTGGAATACAACAACGCTCTTTGCTTACCTCTGTGGGTCGGGAGTTGAAATTCATGTATCGTAGAAGTACAATGGTTGTAGAGGCGGAGAGTTCCCTGAGGCTATTGCTGTGTTGATACCCCTCCCCCCCTCCCCCTTAGAAATTGAAAATTGTGGTCAGTGCCTCTTAAAAATGTCGTTCTGTGGCCAAGATTACCTTAAAAAATGCCTTACTGTGGTCAGTGTTCCTTAAAATTCTCATTCTATGGTTAGTGATTCCTAAAGTTCTCGTTGTGCCTTACGGTGGTCAATGTTCACCTAAAAATGTTGATCTGTATCCCTGAATATATTCGTTCTGTGGTCAATTTCCCTTAAAAATATTATTGTTTCCCTAAAAAATGCTTTACTTTAGTCAGTATTCCTCCAAAAATGTTCATGTATGTCCCTAAAAAGAAGCCTTACTGTGATCAAGGTCCTTAAAAATGCCCTACACAGCCCGAAATGTACCTCAATGAATGCCTTAATCTGGTTAAAGCCATTCAAAAAAAGTCGCTCTCTGGTCAATGTCTCTTAAAAATGTCCTCTTGTGGTCAATGTCCCTTAAAAATGTCTAATAGTGGTTATTGTCCCTAGAATATGTCTGGCTGGTCGAAATGTCTTAAGGAATAAGTGATTTTTTGGACACAAATTAAAGTTGAAGCTGATGATGTAATGTATACCACGAAGAAAGGTCAGGGAAGGTCAACATCTTCCTCCTCCTCATCCTCTTCTTCTTCTTCCTCCTCCTCTTCCACTTCTTCCTCTTCTTCTTCTTCTTCCTCCTCCTCTTCTTCTTCCTCCTCAACATCTTCCTTTTCCCTCCTCCTCTTCCTCTTTCTTTTCTTCCTCATCCTTACTCCTCTTCCTCCTCCTCTTCTTCTTCTTCCTCCTCAACATCTTCCTTTTCCCTCCTCCTCTTCCTCTTATCCTTACTCCTCTTTCTCCTCCTCCTCCATCTTGATCCACGTCCAATAGTTTCCGGTCGATTGCTTCTTCCTGGTCAATAATTACCGTGTGGTGGTCTACCAGAGGTCGACCAGATTCACTGTGGTAATGATCGGCGGTGAAGGGGACTGGTCGACAACGTGGTGATGTGGTCAAGGTGTTGGGTTAAGAAACTGGTCGACAAGGTGATGTGGTCGAGGTGTTGGGTTTAGAGACTGGTCGACTAGGTGATGTGGTCGAGGTGTTGGGTTTAGAGACTGGTCGACAAGGTGATGTGGTCGAGGTGTTGGGTTTAGAGACTGAATGACTAGGTGATGTGGTCGAGGTGTTGGGTTTGAAGACTATGCGACTAGGTGTTGGGTTTAGAGACTGGTCGACTAGGTGATGTGGTCGAGGTGTTGGAGTTTAGAGACTGGTCGGCTAGGGTGATGTGGTCGAGGTGTTGGGTTTAGAGACTGGTCGACAAGGTGATGTGGTCGAGGTGTTGGGTTTAGAGACTGGTCGACTAGGTGATGTGGTCGAGGTGTTGGGTTTAGAGACTGGTCGACAAGGTGATGTGGTCGAGGTGTTGGGTTTACTGGACTGGTCGACAAGGTGATGTGGTCGAGGTGTTGGGTTTACTGGGCTGGTCGACAAAGAGGCAATACAGGTATACTCAAAAGCATTTAATATGGTCGAGCACATCTAATTCAGGTCGACGATAGAGGTAACATAACTCGACTTGTTTACATACTAGTCGACAACACATTACACTCGACCTAATTAATGTAGAGACTGGTCGATCAGGCCCCGAGGCTCTGATTGGTCCATAGGCATATAGAGGGTTGTTGACCGACTAGAAGGTTGTTAGTTAATCAGTGTGTGGTAATGGCCGCTTGTGTGTGCCAGGCTTGTGGTGTTAACGCAGCTGCCTATTACCTGAGGCTGTGAACACTGTTGATTGGTTATTAACAGGTGTCAGGAGGTCATGAGCAGGTGTCAGGAGGTCATGAACAGGTGTCAGGTCATGAAAAGGTGTCAGCAGGTCATGAACAGGTGTCAGGAGGTCTTGAACAGGTGTCAGGTCATGAACAGGTGTCATGTGGTTATGAACAGGTGTCAGGTCATGAACAGGTGTCAGGAGGTCATGAACAGGTGTCAGGTAGTCATGAACAGGTGTCAGGACTCAGGTTATTAGCAGGTGTCAAATCTTAAAGGTGTTATATGGTTAAAGGTCTGAACAGTTGTCAGAACTTCGATCAATAACAGGTGTCAAGTCGTAAAGGTAATGAACAGGTGTCACATGGTAAAGGTCATTAACAAGTGTCACATTGTTAAGATTATGAACACGTGTCAGATGGCATTAAACAGGTGTCAGGTGGATCATTAAACAGGTGTCAGGTGGATCATTAAACAGGTGTCAGAAGGATCATTAAACAGGTGTCAGGTGGATTATTAAACAGGTGTCAGGTGGATCATTAAACAGGTGTCAGGTGGATCATTAAACAGGTGTCAGGTGGATCATTAAACAGGTGCCAGGTGGATCATTAAACAGGTGTCATGTCGTTAACTGGTGTCAAAACTGAGACAAATAAATTGGTTTTATAAAGATGACACTTAACACGGGTTTGTATAAGTATTAAAGTAATTAAGTACATGAGGGTTAATTTAACGCTTTATATCAGCTATTTATTTACGTCAAGTAGAGGAAATAACGTTAATTACACTTGATAATGAAGGAAATGTGTAGACCACGAGGTAATGCAGGTACGTGGAGGCGGTGACCAATCAGGGGTGAGGAAGGGAGCTGTGGCCAATAAGAAAGTTGTTCAGGGTATAAGTGACCATTCCAGGAACCGGAAGGCTGTGACGTCATCCCGGTGATCTTAGGCGGGAATTTAAAGGAGTCAGTGCCAGTCAATCTTGTCAGTGCGTTAGGGACTGCCAGAGAGTGAAGATGTTTGATTTTTTGTGTGCTTTTTATACGTGTTATCTCAAAATAAAAATATTAACAGTGATGATACATAACCAACATTAACATCATTGAGTGAACTATGTCGTGTTATATGAAAATATGTCGAATAACCAAGAGGAAGGACGATTTTGACGAATTAAATAGCGGGATTGGTGTCATGGCGTTTCGAGAACTTTCGATCACAGAAAATGGTATGATCTCACCTGGGCAGCGAGAACAACGTGATAAAGGTATGTAATATAACTTCATTAACCTGTTTGACTATAATTACACCCGATATTATTAGTTTATTTAATAATTAAAGGCTTCGGTGAGGTGAAGTTAGTCTTTTAAGTCGCACAATTGGTTAATTTAAATACTGCGGGATATTTAACGGCAACACGTTGACGCCGGAGAAAATGGGTCACTTTAAACTGTCGCCACGAATTGTCTTATTAATTTTGTTTGAGTGATGGTTTATATTACCCGGTGTATTATTATTATTATTATTATTATTATTATTATTATTTTACTTTTTATTATTAATATTATTATTTATTACTTTACTTTTTATTATTAATATTAATATTATTATTATTATTATTATTATTATTATTATTATTATTATTATTATTATTATTATTATTTTGTAGTAGCAGTTTAGTAATTATATCGCCTCCTCCACCGCCTTCCCCTCCTCTTCCACCACCACCTCCTCCTCCTCCTCCTCCTCCTCCTCTTCCCCCATCACCTCTCCTCCTCCTCTTCCACCATCGTCTCCACCACCTCCTCCACCACTTCCTCCACCACTTCCTCCTCCTCCACCACTTCCTCCTCCACCACTTCCTCCTCCACCACTTCTCTCCTCCCACCCACCCCCTTTTCCTCCCCTCTTCCTCCTCCTCCACCTCTTATCCTCCTCCACCACTTCCTCCTCCCCTCCATCACTTCCTCCTCCCCTCCCACCCCTTCTCCTCCCCTCCCCACCACCCTCCTCCTCCCACACACCACTTCCTCTCCTCCTCTCCCCACCACTTCCTCCTCCTCCTCCCACCACTTCTCCTCCTCCTCCACACCACTTCTCCTCTCCTCCCCACCACCACTTCCTCTCCTCCTCCCACCACCACTTCCTCCTCCTCCTCCCTCCCCCACCACCACTTCACTCCTCCTCCCCACCACTTCTCCTCCTCCCCCCACCACCACTTCCTCCTCCTCCTCCTCCCACCACCACTTCTCCTCCCTCCTCCTCCCACCCACCACCACTACCCTCCTCCTCCCACCACACACTTCCTCCCTCCTCCCTCCACCACTTCCTCCCTCCTCCTCCCTCCCCTCCCACCACCCCTACCCACCACCACCACTACCTCCTCCTCCTCCATCCTCTCCTCCATCATCTCCTCCTCCCCCTCCTCCATCATCTCCTTCTTCTCCTCCCCTCCTCCATCATCTCCTCCTGCCCTCCTCCTCCATCATCTCCTCCTCCTGCCCCTCCTCCTCCATCACTACCTCCTCCTCCATCATCTCCTCCTGCCCCTCCTCCTCCACCACTACCTCCTCCTCCATCACTACCTCCTCCTCCCCCACCACAACCTCCTTCTCCTGTCTTACCTGTACACATTACCTGTGATGTTTTTGATTTAGCAAGATACTGTACAAGTAATATTTCACAAGACTACCAAACATGCTAGTTTAGATTAATTTCTTGTTGGGTTGGGTCAGAGTAAGTTAGATTAGATTAGGATAGGATAGGATAGGATAGATAAATAAATGCCTATGAATCTTACGTAATATAGAGCTAGTGTATAGAAGGTGTATTGAAGTTGGTTTAAACTGAATTATGACTTTGCAAATCCACAATTAATATAGTTTATTATTGTTGTTGTTAATTATTGTTGTTCCTTTATTATTATTATTATTATTATTATTACAGATAACTAACATATTTCTCTTTATTACAGGTAAGTACCGGACCGGGTCAGGTGTTGGACAACCTTTAGCACAGTAAGTTGTACCAGAGGGAGTTAGCCGTCTGCTGTTGTTTTTCCCCAAACGACACAAGATAATACCGGTAAGACGTGAATGATCGAGTCAACGTATTAAACTCTCTCAGGCGTGTGACAGGTGATTCGTCATCCAGTTTTGAGTGAATCGCCTCTGAATAGGGAATTTGTTGGGTCGAAAAATGACGAAAATAATACGCTGAATTGTGAGAAAATAGGGAATATTGTTTTGGGAGTTATTTAACTTTTATGAGAGGTAATTTTGAACGTTGGTATTTGTGATTTGTTCAATATTACATAGCAGTGTGTCATTCGTTCAACATTACATAGCGGTATTAGTGATTTGTTCAACATTACATAGCGGTGTTTGTTGATTCGTTCATCATTACATAGCAGTGTTAGTGATTCATTCAACATTACATAGCGGTGTTTGTTGATTCGTTCAACATTACATAGCGGTGTGTCATTCGTTCAACAGTACATTCCAGTGTTAACCACTTACAATAGCAGATAGCGTTATGATAACTGAACGAATCAACGATTACCTAACCTCACCCTAAACTATTTCTAACCATTAGGGCGATAACCTAATATCGTTACGTTATCCTCTGCCTGTTGTGCATTACTGGACTATTGTTATATCCAGCGTTCGGGAGTGGAGGGGGAGGCTGGCACGGTCATTACCATTGCAAATTTCACGCCTATGTAATTTTTATAAACGTTCCCCACCGCCATGTGTCTGAATTTCATCACGAGAATAAAAAAAATCGGGAGCTGTGATTTAGTGTATAGTTTGCTGGTCCTGCCGTTGGTCAAAAAGGAAAAATGGTTATCGCAAGTCCCCTGAGTACAGAGTCGTCATGCACAGAGCTGCCAACACAACTGCAGTCCTCCCGATTTCGTATTTTTTCCTGTTACAGTTTTGTTTCGATAATATTTAGATCAAGTTAGATTAGGTTAAGTTAGAATGGATTACTCCTTCCACCATCACTTAAGAGTAACTGCGTCACTCCTGCCATCACCACTTTGACTGGTGTCACTCTTGCCACCTCTACTTAGACCGTGTCACTCCTGCCACCACCACATATAGTTCTCCCACATTTTCCAGTCGGGGAAAATTGCCCCAAGATATCTGAGAACTTGTGCCTCAGAAAAATAACTTTAGTAAGAAGAGCCCAGGGGAAAACTATTGATAATTACGGCTTACAAAAGGGAGACAGCGGCTGTAAATACGGGTCATGGAATATTCCTGAGAGAGAGAGAGAGATAAAATACGGCTCATAGAATATTGAGAGAGATAAGATATTGCTCATAAATTATCCCCGAGAGAGAGAGAGAGAGAGAGAGAGAATACGGCTTAAAAATATCCCTGACTGAGAAACAATATACCCTAACACTAGCCTCACCCTCTCAAGTAGCTTTAGTGTGTATAATAATCAGGTGAAATAAGTGTGGGTGTCTAATCTTCATGTGAGACAAATATTACACACACGTCTTACTCTTTCCCTGACATGCATCGCCGCCACACGTACGTCCAATTAATTCATTATCCTGTAGCATATACGATTAATTATGACTTTAGATTACAAATAATTATCAATATTTCAAAATGAGAAGTTATTTTTAATTTTACTTGATGTTAATTGGGATATATATTTAATTAATGCTATGGGGATGTATGACTGAGGGCTTTCCTTGTGAGCGGTTCAGCCAATCAGATGCCAGCAATCCTTTAGCTCATACCAGTTGCTTTATGTAACAACGGGGGACCAGTGTACCCAACTTAACTACCCAACTAATGCAAATTTACTTTATCAACCCAAAATCTAAACGTATCCTCACATTAACTTTACTTAACTAATTCCTAATCTAACTTAATTTGGCTAGACTTAATTTTACCTAACCTAACTTATCCAAACTTTGTTAACCCCCCAACCTAACCTAACTTAAACTTAACCTGACCCACCTCTAACCAGCCCTACCCTTACCTAACCTAACTTAAACTTAACCTGACCCACCTCTAACCAGCCCTACCCTTACCTAGCCTGACCTGACCCCAGGGTGTTTAATCATTAGGTGGAATAAGCTAGGGTGGCTAATCTTCAGGTGATGCGGTGGTGCAGTTTAGTAATATCTGATAACGTTTTAAATTACCTGGCAAAGTTGAGCTGGGTGATAAACGTTCTAAATGGATGACAACGTTCAAGTGAGTGATAAATGTTTCAAGTGGCTGACAGCGCTTCAGTTTACACGACACAACATTTGGAGTGCGTGACACCTAACCGGGAGGACGAGAAGTGAGGAGGATATATGCTGTTTGGAGAGGAGGACGAGGGATAGTGGAGGGTGACGTGGCTTGAGGAGGAAGGTGACGGGTTGGCGGACGAGGAGGAGAGTGACGGATAGGTGGACGAGGAGGAGGAAAGTGACGGATAGGTGGACGAGGAGGAGGAGAGTGACGGATAGGTGGACGAGGAGGAGGAGAGTGACGGATAGGTGGACGAGGAGGAGGAAATGGAGGTAGACGGTAACTGGTAGGTGGACGAGGAGGTGGAGGAGGAGGGTGACGGGTAGGTGGACGAGGAGGTGGAGGGTGACTGGTAGGTGGACGGGGACAACTCACTTCAAGGTGTCACGTGGAGCGACTTTGATAAACTGGCTGGCTGTCTGTCTGTTGCTCCTCACCTGTCGTTCCACCTCGCCAGTCGTTCTTCCCCGCCAGTCGTTCCACCCGGAGCTGCACCCCCTCCCTCCTGTTGCTGGTGGTGATGGTAGTGATGGTAATGGTGGTCTTGGTGGTGGTGGTGTTTTAGGGTGTTAGTGGTGCTGGTGGTGGTGATGATGGTAGTAGAGGTGATGATGGTGGTAGTGCTTTAAGGATGGTGGGGGTGGCGATAGTAGTGGTATTGGTGGTGTAGCTGTTGGTGGTAGCCGTTGTAGTGGTGGAGGTGGTAGCGTTGGTGGTAGTGGTGATGGAGGAAAAATATCAATAACAGCTTGACACTTCCCTCCTTCCATGGTTGTGAATTACTACCGGCACTGACTACTAATTACTTCCGGTGTTAGGTACTTAAATTACTGCCATTAATAGTTACATACACGTGCTCGTTACTGCTATTACTTACACTATTAATTACGTACGGTGGGAGTTAATTGTACTGACGTCACTACTAATTACGATCAATTACGATACTGTACTGGAAGTGTGTGTGGGGGTGAGTGAGTGTGTATGGGATGGGGGTGAGTGAGTGTGTGGGGTGGGGGTGTGTGTGTGGGGGGGTGAGTATGTGTGTGTGGGGGGGTGAGTGTATGTGTGTGTGTGTGTGTGTGGAGGGGTGTGAATGAGTGTGGTTTGGAGGTGTGTGTGTGTGTGTGTAAAGAAGTCATATATATATATATATAGTGTATACATGTGCCAAACTTGAACTCCTGAACTTAAACGTGTATAAAAAAAATCATGTTATTTTTGTGTGAATTTTTAAGTTGAGTGAATCAAAGGTGTCTGATTTTTTTGCTCAATGCCGACTATAAATGTCTTCTTTTTTTACACATATGTCCCACCCTTTAGGACACCTGTTTATATAAGATACTTCCATTAGGACACATGCAGTATATTTACATGTGTAAGAACCTTGAGTATACATTACTAGGACACGTACCGTATATTTAATAATAGAGTTTAGGACACGTATTTACATATGATACATCCTTTAGGACACATACCGTATATTTCCACGTAAGAGAACCCTTAGGACACACACATTTACATAAAATACGACTTTTGAGACACATTTATTTACCTATATCCCAATGCTAAAGATACATATATTTTCATAGTCTTATATAGATAACATTCTTAACTTGGGGAATATGTATAGGAGTCGTTTATGTGTGTGTATGATTCAGTGTAATAGGTTGGTCATGACTCGTTAACTTTGAGAATAATTAAGTCAAATGATTATAAAAATAAGTTTTAAGTCAGTGGAATAAGATTTGTTTATGTATACAGGCTAGTTAAGTCATATGTAAATAAGGATAAAATAAGGTGGGGTTTGCGATAGTCATGACGGTACGGCAATGGTCGGTCACTTCTTGGCGATAGTTTTTACTGTTGGTGCTTTAGTGTTCTCGTAACTGTTTATGTCTGTTTTTATGGTCTATTAAACCCGGGGCTCACTGTAACCCGCCGAACCCGGAATGTATTGATAATGTACCGGGGTTCACTGTTACCCGAACCCGAAACGTATTGATACTGTACCGGGGTTCAGTGTCACCCGAACCCGAAACGTATTGAAACCGGTGCCCACTAGGCTATACTGGATCGACCTAACCTAACCCGAACCCGGATGTATGGATGCTGTACGGGGTTCAGTGTCACCCGGAACGTATTGAAACCGGTGCCCACTAGGCTATACTGGATCGACCTAACCTAACCCGAACCCGGATGTATGGATGCTGTACGGGGTTCAGTGTCACCTGAAACGTATTGAAACCGGTGCCCACTACACTGGACCTACCCAACCTAAACATATTTCCGAGTGACTTTTTTACCTTGGCTTGATGTCCAGTGGTTTCACATTTTGTGGTTACGCTACATACGATTTTTATAACGGGACAAATGATTAATCTTTTGGGCAATCATGTCAGCATTTATGACATACCGTATGACAATTCATGACATTCACCAAGTCTTAAACTGTCGTGTCAGATTTTTTGGGACAGTTATGACAGTGTAGATGACAGGTAGTGGGTGATTTAGTTATGACAGTTACTGTTACTGTTAACTGATCTGTTAGTAGTGAACACGAGCAGGCAGTTACACTTCCCCCTTCAGCTGACAGCAGGCACCTGCACGCAATTGCACCGCCACCTTTAGTAGACGGCAGGCACTCGCAGGCAACTCCACCTCCCTCTTTAGCAGTAGCAGGCAGTAGCAGGCAGCATTAGCAAGCAATAGAAAACAACTACATCTCCCCTTTAGCAGACAGCAGAAAACAACACCGCCCCCTTCCTCAAACAGCAGGCACCAACAGGCATCTACTCCCCTCCCTTCGTCAAACAGCCGGCAGCAAGCAGGCAAGAAGGCCATTGCTCTCGGGCCATATATATATTCCCCGGTCGTCCACCTGGCAGGAAGATATTGCCTCGACGTAATTGAGTCAGCGGTGGAGATAAATTTCCTTTTTATCTTATGTGTCCCAAACCACAATCCACCTCTCCTGTCTTATTCCCCCAGACCCCACCAAGATCCCTCCAGACCCCTCTAGTCCTCCTTCAGACCCCCCAGACCCTGCCAAGTTCCCTCCAGACCACTCGAGACCCCGTCAAGTTCCCTTCAAATCCATCCAGTCCCCTTCAGATTCCTTCAGTCCCCTTCCGATCCCACCAGACCCTGTCAAGTTCCCTTCAGACCCACCAGACCCTGCCAAGTTCCCTCCAGTCCCCTTCAGATCCATCCAGTCCCCTTCAGACCCCTCCAGTTCTTCCTCGCCTCCATTTTGGTCGATATCCGAGTTTCTTACGATTTTAGGAAGGTGAAATTAATGTTATTATTATTAATATTGTTTCCTTTGTTGTTTTTGTTTTTCTTATGTTTCTTGTCTTCATTAAAGTGTTGTTTTATTATGCTTTAAATTAACAGTAAGAGTAATTATTGTAAAAAAATATTATTGTTATACTTTAAATTGACATAATGTATTATCATTTTAACTTGTACTCCACACTGACACGAAGACTAATGACCAGATATCAACACTATGCTACTTTAATTCCTACAAACATTATAATACTCACAACTTAAATATTTGTACAAGCAATTATGACATTCAGGGTGGATTCGAACCCAGGAGTCCCCCAAGACATTACATTCAATCACCTAAGTCCAGTGAGCCATCTGGAGGGCCTTTTGGTGTGGCCAGATTATGACAGATTTTTATGATGCCTCCTAAGTATTATTTCTCGTTGCTTGTGTCGTTGTGGTGGTCATTACGTGGTCCTTTGCCTTAAGATTGGGTTTAGGGGTTGCTCGTTTTGGTGTGTGTGTGTGTGTGTGTGTGTGTGTGTGTGTGTGTGTGTGTGTGTGTGTGTGTCATATTTCTGGTCACGGTGGTGTTTGTGGATTGATATTTCTTAAGAATATATTTCCACGGGATTATTTCTCTGTTTAATTCTGTTTTTTTCCAAGACTATATTTCCGGGTCATTATCTTGGCTGTTAACTGTTGGTATCTTTTAATATGTTTTGTAATTATAATTTGTGTCTTGTTTCTTGGTCTTGGCGTTTACGTTGAATTTAAACGCTGCGTGGAGTGTGAAGGGAGTGATTACGTGGAGTGTGTGATCGGGAGGAGTGTTGGAGGGAGAGTGACGGTGTGGAGTGTTGGAGAAGAGTGACCGCTTGGAATGTTGGAGGAGAGGTGGAGGAAGAATGACCGCATGGAGTGTTGGAGGTAGAGTGACCGCATGGAGTGTTGGTGGGAGAGTGACCGCATGGAGTGTTGGAGGTAGAGCGACCGCGTAGAGTGTTGGTGGGAGAGTGACCGCGTAGAGTGTTGGAGGGTCATCAAGGAGAGTGTTTTTATGGAGATCCTGGGAGGTCCGGGTGAGGGCTGGAAGTTGGACTGGCCTAAGGTTATGACCGGGGCTTATGTGTGTGTTATGACGGACTGTTACTGGAGTGTACAGGACCAGAGGACTTAGCCTGGCTGATGTTGTGGTGATGTTGGTCATGTGTGATGTTATGGTGATGTTGGTCATGTGTGATGTTATGGTGATGGTGGTGTTGATTTTGTGGTGATGTGTGATGTTGTGGTGATGTTGTTGGTCGTGTGTGGTGTTGTGGTGGTGATGTTGGTCATGTGTTGTTATGGTGATGTTGCTCATGTGTGATGTTATGGTGATGTTGGTCATGTGATGTCATGTGTGATGTTAATAATAATAATAATAATAATAACAATAACAATAATAATAATAATAATTATTAACGGTTTATTGAAAGAGCTTGGCAGCCAGAAGGCTGAAAATATACAGTTACATATTTGGGGAATGGGTTTCGAATTACAAATAATATGCAAGTAACATAAGTGATACAAATAAGATATATAATAACTAGATGGGGAAAAGCTCAAACTACAGTGCATTTCAACATAGTGACAGTGCAAGAAATAGTATTTACTGGGAGTGAATACACTGGTTTATTACAAGTTATTGATAATTTTTACAATGGTTGGGACTGGGCTGTTCTTATAGCGATCAGTTCGTGCTCGTATGGGCTGGATGCGGTTGTGGTGTCGAACAGCCATTCTCGGGCTAGGGATCTCAGGTGGTAGTAGGAGCCGGTGTCAAGGATGGTGTAGAAGCTTCTTACCAAATTTGCAGATGAGGTCGTGGTGATGGTCAGTGAGAGTCGAAAGGGTCAGTGTGTTGAGCGCTTCTTGATATGTGGAGTAGGTTATGGTGATGGTGGTGTTGATTTTGTGGTGATGTGTGATGTTGTGGTGATGAGTGATGTTGTGTGTTGTAAGGTTTGGTGATGTGTGTTGTAATGATGTTGGTGATATGATATTACGAGTTGTAAAGATGTTAGCGATGGGATATGATGCGTTGTGATGTGTTTGTGATGTGATACACGTTGTGATGTGTTCCTCATGCGATGTAGTGGTTATGATGTTGGTGATGTGTGAATGTTCCGGGTCATTAATAACAACATATGGGACTCTCTTAAAACATATATCAGAAACATCAGAATAAATTATAGATTATTGTATTAAGTTTCGTCACTATAATCGAGAATCACACCTACAGCCCATTAACCCCATTAGATTATAGTGCCTTTAATACCGACCACAATACTAGTTAATGAAGGTAAACTAAGTCGCCACGTGTTAAAAAGCAGCAAAACAGTGGTACTTTAACTTAGTCTGAAAACACACTAAAAGCCATTAACCTCTGTAAGTTAATGTTGGCTATATATAACACAATGGAAGTTAATGATTTGAGATAAAGTATTGTCCAGATATTAACTTAATCATAACAGTAGTACCATAACATTAGCTGGAATTACACACACACACACACACACACACACACACACACACACACACACACACACACACACACACACACACACACACACACACACACACACACACACACCATCCTTCATCATCCCGTACACGAAAAAAATCATACGATATTGAGTTACTTTCTTCAGGAACTGGCTGGCTGTGTCGTCTCCCTTATATAGAGGATGAAATTAACCTTAGTACTCGCTACACCTTGTTCCTCGCTTCACCTTGTTCCTCACTACACCTTCCTCGTTACACCTTGTTCCTCGCTTCACCTTGTTCCTCACTACACCTTGTTCCTCACTACACCTTGTTCCTCACTATACCTTGTTCCTCACTACACCTTGTTCCTCACTACACCTTGTTCCGACAGATGACGAAGGGGAAGGCAAGCCCTCATCTGTATATCGTGAACTTGCTTGAAATTCACTTACTTCCATTATACAGGCAGCTGGCCCAGTATAGCAAACCCGTATGCAAATCACCTTAACGGAGTATATATATGCTAGTTCCCAGCTGGTCTCATAGCGTATGTAGCAGCACCAACCACCTCCACCATCTGTGTAATGTTGTGATGCAGTGATGGTGTTGGAATGGTGTAAGGGGTGTTGGAAATGGTGTGAGGGGTGTTGGAATGGTGATGGGTGTATTGGAATGGTGTAAGGGGTGTTGGAATGGTGTAAGCGGTGTTGGAATGGTGATGGAGGTGTTGGAATGGTGATGGGTGTTGTTGGGATGGTGATGTGTGTATTGGTTTGGTGATGGGGATGTTGGAGTGGTGATGGGGTGTTTTCGAATGGTGATTGATGTATTGGAATGGTGTAAGCGGTGTTGGAAATGGTGTAAGGGGTGTTGGAATGGTGTAAGCGGTGTTGGAAATGGTGTAAGGGGTGTTGGAATGGTGTAAGCGGTGTTGGAAATGGTGATGTGTGTTGGAAATGGTGATGTGTGTTGGAATGGTGTTGGCTGTGTCGGAATGGTGGCAATGAGAAACACCTCAGTGGAAACAAGGAATTCTGTGCCTCAGATCCCGCCAACAGCTGTCCCCATAACGCTGTGAGATGACTCGCTAAGAGAGCACTCCACTTATGCAGCAGTACCACTCGCTGTGTAGATGCTGTTTTAGCCAGATGAGAGAAGCTGTGATGGTAGGGGTGGTTGGTTGTAGTAGGGGTGGGTAGTGGTGGTGGTGGTGGTAGTTGAGCCCTTACTTATCCCTAACCCACCTGTAATGTATTCTACCCACACCAGCGGCTTTAGTGTGGAAATTCAGGTCTTGTTCAGGGTATTAGTTTTGGCCCCTTAAGTGTATTTAAGTCTTTTGTGGTATTTTTGGAGAATTGTATATTTAGGTCTTGTGTATACTTTTACAGTAGGTCTTGTTGTATATTTTAGTCTTGTAAAGTATAAAATGAACTGCAGTAATAAAGACAGATTTATAAAACACGTTATATGTATGAAGTGAGACGGGTATATAAGCACTGTATACAAACTTATATGAAGAGACATATATAAATACTCGAATAACTAAGGTAGCTATACACTCGTAAGCCCTGTATATGAACTAAGTCAGGTATATAAACTCGGTGCATGAACTGGGGCGGAGCGGTAAGCATATCCACTCACCCTCGCTAAGCACGATAACACGATCACCTCTTAGGCTAATGTGTGTGGTGAAACGTGAGCGCCTTGAGGAACCCCGTGACGTCACATTGTAAACATTTCGCTTCGTGACGTCACATTGTAAACACGCCTCGCCATGTTCTACCTTATCAGGGGATATTTTTAAAAGTTTTTCCCTTGGATGTGACACTTATGGGAGCTTTTGTGCCATTTAAGTATCAATGTTTACCAGTTTAATGTACCACTTTTAAAGTGTTGGTTTACCACTTCATCATAAACTTTAGGGCCTAGGCAGTGATAGTATTGTGTGCAGTTTACCACTTATAGATACACTTAAATATCTTGGTATCTTAGCTTGTACGTACACTTAATACACCCTGAACACTAGTATCACAATGCTACCCTGTACCTCACTACACCGTAAGTACAGATCGTTATCTTTGCACGTACATTTTATCTAATTAAGAGAACACTCTCTAGACATGTACAAATTTGTACACTCGGGGCGGTGATCACTATCATATTGTTTGTACACGTGAGGCGATGATGACTAAGCTGTCGTATATTATTGTGTATTGTAAGCAAGGGAGAGATTACGGTCTTGAGGGAAGAGGTTATTTAGGGGTGCGGCGGCCGAGTGGATACAGAATTCGTCTCTTGGTTCGATCCCGGGACACTCCTAGTCTTTTCACCCGAAGCTTTCAACTGAGGCCTGGGGTCAGTTTGTAGCAAGGCAGTTGATTGGTGACCTTTACCTGCCCTGTGACTATCCATGTGACCTGTGACCTTTC